GCAAAAGTTTCAGTATAATCTAGGCCTTCTTGTGGACGAAACCCTTTGCAACCAGTCTAGCTTTAAATTTGATTGGATTTCCATCATCATCTACTTTCTAATAATCGAACACCCATTTCAAGTCTATAGGAACCATTCCTTCTGGTTTATCAACTACCTTCCACACTTTCATTTTCTTCATCATGCTCATTTCACTATCACATGCTTCTTTCCAATTTTCTGATTCTGTTGACCTCATAGCTTCTGCATACAATCGTGGTGGTTTCAATATTTTCAGGTAATCTTCACCACTTAATGCGTGGCTCGCAGCTACATCTTGCTTGTCGAGTTTGATTTCTTCCGCAAATTCTCCTAATTTCAAAGTGTTAATGATGTGTTGAATGCTACCTTTTTCTGATGATCCAGACTGTTCCGTGTTGAGTATTTTATTGATTGATTCTGATGACGTTGCTCCGTTTGATGGTTGTTTGGGTAGATCTTCACTTTCATATGGGAATTTCGCGATTGCAGAAGGAAAGACCTTCTCAGACTTCTCATCATAAAATAGCCATCCTTTAGTTCCTGCCGCATAACCAACCATTACACATTTTCTAGCACGATCTTCCAATTTTCCGGGTGATCTCTGACCTTCATGGATATGAACAAATGCGGTGCTTCCGAATGATCTAAGTATGTCAAGTTGGGGTTTCCTGCTGTGAAAAATCTCGTATGGTGTCTTGTTTCCTGTGATTGAGTTTGGTAATCTGTTATGGAGGTAAGCAGCGTTCAGGTAAGCAAAGTTCCAAAATTTATTTGGGAGCTTGCTGGATGATAACAGTGTTTGAGCCATTTCACCTAAAGTCCGATTCAGACGTTCTGCAATCCCATTCTGTTCTGGTTCGTATGGGTTTGAAAATTCATGATTGATGCCGTTATCTTTAAGCCATTTGTCTAGGTTTGCACCTACGTACTCTCCACCTCTATCAGATCTAACAGTCTTGATCTTCATTCCAGTTTCTCTTTCCCATTTTTTGATTACGTGAATTAGTTGTTGATGAACTTCTGATTTATGCTTGATTATACATATTTCGGAAAACGTTGATGCTACATCACGAAATGTTACCATTAGTTGTTCACCAGTCAGACATGGAGTAAAAGGACCAGCTACGTCTGTCACAAGTACTTCGAGTATACGTGGTTCACGGTTCGTACTGCCCAAAGTTCTCTGACGAGTGCTCTTACATGTAAAACAATCGTCACATTTAACTTGTGAGTGTTTTATGTCAGGCAATCCATACTCCTCAGGGTTCTTGAATAGTTGCTGAATTCTTTTCATGGACACATGACCTAGACGTGCATGCCAAAGTTGAGACAATTGTGAAGAAGTTTTCATTGCGCACACACGGTGAGACCGAGATTGAGAGAGAGATTGAGAAATAGACTGAGAAAGAGGAACACAAAATTTAGGACGATTTTTTCTTGCTTGTATAAACCATCAACGATTCTTGTGAACAGCATAAAGTATTTTTCCATTTTTTAATTTAATTTTATAAGTATTTTCATCATTCAATGAGATCTTTGCTCCACTTGCTATCAAAGCTCCAGGTGATATAAGAGTTGTAGTTGCCTTAGGACAGTAATAAACGTCTTTGATGATTGCCTTTTCACCATTTTCAGTTGTTATTTTGATGTCACCTTTGCCTACTATAACAGCGTTAGAATCATTAGCTGTTGTTTTGATAGGAATAGGATTGGGAAGGGACTGGTAGTTTTTTAATGACGATCTGTCGTTGCTTACAGCGTCAGTTGCTCCACTATCAAATAGAAGATTATCCAGGTACTCAGTTGGTACGTCTGATTCTTGATCGTTTACTTCCCAACCTTCAGATGACCAGTTTAAAGCGGATGCTTCTACCATGTGTTGAGATGAATCACTTTGAACTTCAACCAAGTTTGCTTTTGGACGTGATGAAGCTTGATTCTGACCAGGGAGTGAGTACTGTTGGGGGTACAAGGCGTTTAAACTATAGTGCTTGCCGTTTGATGTTCTTCGCCAGTCACGGTAATGTGCTCCAGTTCTATCACCATTACCATTATACAGAGGACAATTTCCTTCAATGTAAAGATGACCGAATTTTCCACAGAAAAAACATTGAAGTGCTCCTTCCTTCACACCTTTAACCGCTGATTCAGGAATTTGAACTGGGGCTGATTCAGATTGATTACGTGGTTCGTTACTATTCATCCAGTTCACAGGTCCTTGTGTCCATCTCATTGGGTCGATTTTGGAAACTTTCTGTCTTGGAGTAAAAGGCTGACTAAAACGTTGCTGACTAGCATAAGATTGGTTGAAACGTTGTTGGGAGGGTTGATGTCTTGGTGTCGGGGTTCTTAAAGGTGTAGATTGACGTGGCCTAGTACCTACGGACATTGCATCGACCTGAGTACTCAAATTGCTAATGACGATAGTCTCTGAAGCAGTCTTTTCACGAGTTAAATAAATTTGAATAGCTGATTTAATGTCATCTAATTTGTAATTTGGATTCTTGCTGTCATACTTGCTATCTAAATCTTTATTAATTTCTTTCGTCATTTCAGGAGGCATAGCAATTTGATAGAACAACCCTCTTATTGAATCAGCGTTCCAGACAAACCCAGTTGATTGAATTTCATAAACTAGTGAGTCGACTTTTGACATATGAGCTATCATTTCAGTTTCACTTAAATCTAAACGTAAATTGATAAGACGGTTGAAGAGAGAAAACTGAGCAGTTCTTCCACCTTTTCGGAAGTAGTTCTGTAAAGCATCCATTGCATCAAAAGAGGTAGCCTTGCGATCAGTGACAATCTTGAGGGTTTCGTGAATAGTTTGATTTATAACGATAACAGCAATTGCATCTCTTTTCCGATTGTGGTAATTTTTGACCTGTAAGTGATCCTTCTCTTCCCAATAATCGTCAACGTTGAGTAGCATTTTCAAAGCTCGAACTGTGTTTAATTTCCAGTCGATGAAGTTCGATCCATTTGCATCAAGTTTCACGATGTTCTGAGTCTCGTTGCCTACGTACTTCCGAGCAGTGTTGACATCGTCTTCGGAGAATACGTATTTAGTGTTGGTTGAAGCATCTTGCTTCGATTCGGCAGAATTCTTTTCGGTAGACATAGTCGGCAGTGGATAAAAGTAACGCGCTGGAAAAGTGATCGGTGATGGATTGAACGTAGTTGGTTTGGACGTAAAGCTTTCGGCGATTAACGTAGGGTATTTCGACGTAGGACGTTGGATAGCGTAAGTTAGGTCTGTGGTGTGTAAGTTTAAGCGTGAGAGAGCGGAGTTCAGCTCCGAGTCGGACGTAGGTGATTCGGGTAACGGTGGTAGCGTAGAAAGTTCTGGAAAGATTGAAATTGGTGACACAGAGACTCGAGGTTCTTCTGTGCTAGGCGTACAAAAGTCAGGTTTGAGTTCAGGTGATTGTATGAGAGGATTAGGAATAAGATTCGGTGGAGATGGAGTAAGATTTAGTGGAGACAAAGGTAGTGGAGGTAAATCGTTTAAGATGGGGAATACAGGCGATACTGGTAATGGAGGTAAAAGGGAGATGTTATAAGATAATGTTTGTGAGTTTTCGGTAGTGTTGTTGATTTCTGGTAAGACTTGTTTCTTCCTTTGTACTCTTCTTTGGCGTTTGGGAGGGGATCTTGGGTGTGTCGTATAGTTTCGTCGTCTTGTTTCCATTCACTTGGTGAGCGTATCGTAAGTCGTAGGAGCAGCGGTTACGCGGGCTCATAACCTATAGTGAACAGATAAGATAGAAAACAACGCATAAGCCAAAAAGTATCTTGGATTCCACAATGATGTATGTAATGTACCTATAGTGAACAGATAAGATAGAAAACAACGCATAAGCCAAAAAGTATCTTGGATTCCACAATGATGTGGAATCTCAGATCTCGGCGGAACAGAGTTTTGTTGACTGCGTCACGTGATGTCTGTGCCGCAGTCGTGTACAAGATCATGTGACTACAACAGTCTCCTCCAGACCTTGCATCTTGAAATATCCCATCAAACTTGTCTCATTCTTCAACAATTAAAAGAAGTTGCTATGCGTTTCTTCAAAATCGTCATTGCTGCTGTTCTAGCAGGTCAGTGAATTCAAGCACCATACCTCCATTCATACTCGATCTTAATCAATCCTCTATCTATTCTTACAGCCACAATCTCCGCCAGCCCGGTCCAAGATGACCAACCGTAAGCAAAGCTTTAACATATTTCTTGAACTGCTCTCAGAAACTTGACCTATCGCATGACTTGCTTGATTTCAGTGTCACTCGTGAAGTCCTACAACGTCGATTTGTAGAGTTCACTCCCATCATCGAAAAGAGATTGTAAGTGGATGTTATGAGCATCAACTCTCATTACTCTACTCTCCTACATCATTTGACTGATTGATATGATACCCGTCTACACAAAACCAATCTCACTAACTCAAGACGCCTCAAAACTCGTGGACCTCCGGCCCCCCCAACCTGCGACCCGTGTGATGACGGCCCCGGTTGTTGTTGATCTGGCTAATGTCAATGCAATCAATGTATGTGACAAGTTCAGGAGGGCTATAGGTGAACGTGCACGCAGACCTTATTATAACATGCAGGGATTTCTTTCCTTCAGAATCCTCTTCTATGCATTCCCCTGACCAAAGTGTGAACTGAGCTTGCTTTCTTCATGACTTTCACCATACCAATTTGCTTTTTGTACGCCTGCTGATGTGTAAACCCAGTGATTCTATGACAATCTTGTGCCAACTTTAGTAGTTTATCATCAAAAGCTTTACTACCCTGATTGTTCTGGATCGATGGAAATCGGCAATGTCAAATGTATTTCACTGCCAGCATTAAATAGGTTCCCTGGTCGGAACATGACCTAGGCTGGGAATATCATTGAGAGAAGAATGGAGAATCAAATTATCTTGCACTGCACATCTGAGCCATAAAGCATACACTACATATGTGCAAACATCTGAGTAAATCCTTAGCTATCAGCTACATACAGGTCCGCTCAGCTATCTGCTCATCTAGATAAGAAAATCATGTGTAATACATGCTGTAACTTTGTTCAGATTGAGACGCACATTTCAAAATATTGACTACATATATCACAATGGCTACTCAGGAAATATTCATGGAACTGTGTAACAGTAGCAGAATGGGAATCTGATCACTAGGACCCGTATTCCCATCTGGGAACCTCTTTAATGCTGGCAGTGTTTGTTTAGTCTTCGCGCGATCTTGATGTGATCAAGGTGTCTGTTCACCCAGGTTCTTCAAAGGGTCGATCTGATTCTGAGCCTGGTCGCGTCGGACTAGGAGCTTGCTTCAGCTTGCTCCCTCGCGAGGCCTCAATTTACATACAAGTACCGACTTCTAGGCTTAAGGACCTCTATCGTGAAGTGAGGGCCCGTTCGGTTGCCGTCAACCTCGCAGGTTGACCCAGCCAAAAGTTGAGGTGTACGCTTCAAGGCAGTTTGAAGCGTACGCCTGGGTGTTGAGGTGTTTGGTACACCCTTTTGGAAAAAGGGTGAAGCGTACGCCCGGCAGGTCTACCAGCCAAAACGGTCGACCTGCCAGGTTGACCGTTTTGCCACATTCTCGCAGGTTGACCTGTCTACTTGTGAGGGTAGGGTATTCTTTTAGAGTACTCTAAGCTCACTAATGGAAGATAAGGTGGGTTCTTTTGATTTAAAGTAGTTGTATTTCAAAGATAAGTTTGTAAATACAATGAGAATAAAAACAAAAGCAAGAAAGGAAAAGGGACTAACAGTCTGTTTGGATAAATCCAGACAGACTACAGTTAGATGACTCCTTAAAAAGGAGGTTTGAATTATAATTCATAATTATTATGAAATAAAAGAGCTGGGTCCAAGGCTCTACTTTAATCCTTATGGTAACAGATTAAAGAGTGAGGTGAAGGTCACTAATCTGGTTATTCTAAAGTCACCAACTTGTAGTTGTTCAAAAGGTGCACTAACCTGTGAGTTGATATAGGTCACTAACCTGTAGTTGTTCAAAAGGTGCACTAACCTGTGAGTTGATGTAGGTCACTAACCTGTGGTTGTTCAAAAGAGTAACCAACCTGAAGTTAATTGGAAGGTCACTAACCTGAAAGATTTCTACTTAGGGAAAGTAGAGGACCCAGACAAAGTGAAGAGATTACTACTTACTTTTAGTCAGGAAGCTGATAAAGTTATGAAGTATC